AAACCTCGATCACTGGCCTTGTGCACATCCTGTTCGTTCTGGGGATCTAGCCTACTACCAGGCCCTTTTCCCCACTGGCAATCCAAGGCCCACCACTAGGTTGCAATCCAGGCTTTATATCTGACACTTATTTTGTGGGGAAGCAAGTCTGTATATGTGCGAGCACCTGGGTATTTACTAGAATCTTTATGCTTAGTCTTTAGATGTCCTTTGTTAAAGGACGCTGCAGACACATGTGTGATCTCAAGGATGCTTACCCTACTGATGGTATCTAATAGTTAATTTTTATTCAAGCTGTTGTTACAAGAAAAGCCTAAGGAGGCAGGCGAAGGGGCTGTTTGGTTCTGATATCCAGGCAGTCCCTTAGCCCTTTCATCACAAAAAAATGGGTCAGAGTAATCATTCATCCATCACTCAGAGCCTGCTGTTCAGCCCTGACATTGTTTAAGTACACTTGGAAAATCTTCCTCATTTCTGTAATCGAAGATGTGCCCAGCAGTTCAATATGAGTTTAGACTTCCCCATTTTTTTGTGAGAATTAAAAGAGAAAATGCTCAAAAAGTCATCTCTGGAACACTGGCCCAGGCAAGTACCAAGTTTGTAGCTTTTATTGATCCTCACAGTCCTAGCTAATTCCTGTTATCAGGGTCATGTCCACATTTAACCAACTGAGGTGCAGGGAGCTGTAGAGAGTCTCCTGGAGATTCCAGGTTGGAGACCCAACACTGAGACCTTAGTGCCCACAGTACTGCCTCCCTGCAGGTGGGTCAACGGGTTCAGAAAGGCCCCAGTTCTTTCTCAAAAGCCCTTACACACAAAGGTGCTTGTTGGCACTGGGAAACTGAAGAGTTCTTGTCCCGCGAATGTTTCCTAAGGCTGCTCTTCTGAAGGTGATGGAGAATGTTAGTAGTGCGAGTAAAAATTAAAAGTGTTCACTGCATTGTGCTTATTATTTAAAAACTAAAAAATTTCTAGCTGGTGTTGCTCAGTGGTTAAACATCGGCACACGCACAAAGATGTCCCCCATTCTATTTCTCATCAGGGCACATGCCTGAGTTGCAGGGTCCTTTCCAGCAGCAGCGTGAAGGAGGTAGCCCATCAATGATTCTCTCTCATTATTGATGATTCTCTCTCTCTTTCTCCCTCCCTTCCTTTCTGAAATCAATAAAAAATATTTTTAAAATCTCTAAAAAAAGTATTTTAAAGGTAAAAATTATTAAAACACCTTATACCAATACAAAAATTGATTTCCTAAATCAAAAAGGCACAAAATGAGTGAAATTCTAACATTCATATTTGTTATCCCATTGTCTTTTTGTTAAAGGAAATTGCCAAAACTCATAAAACATTAGGCAGAACATATGAGCAGAGGTATTAAGAAAGATACGGGCACAGCAAATGTACATCTGAGAAAAGACTCACCATAAATTTCTAGAAAAAATACAACCAAACAGTGAGGTAGCATGACAAACTTACAAAACAAAATGTTTAAATAAATAATGATGGAGCAAACAAAATATTCTCTAGGATGTGAAGAATGTGAATCCCTCACACACCACTGGAAAAATACAAAAAAAGTACACTCAGTTAAGGTTTATTTATTTTTAAAAAACAATCTTGCTTCGTGCCCACCTAGGGACACCTTTTTTCCTGTGGACTGCGGAGTCCCGGGTTCGATTCCGGTCAGGGGCATGTCCCCAATGGGGGGTGTGAAGGAGGCAACTGATGGATGTTTCTCTCCCATGGATGTTTCTAGCTCTCTGCCCCTCTCCCTTCCTCTCTGTGAAAAATCAATAAAATATATATTCTTAAAAAAACAATCTTTATTACTTATTAGCATACCATAGAGTTCGGCTATTGGGTGAGTCACTCCATTCTTAGTGAGACATGCTCATAGACACTGATGGTTTTTGTTTTTAAACATATTTCCTTATTGCTTTCGGAGAGGAAGGGAGAGGGAGAGAGAATCATTGATGGCATCTCCTGCATGCCCACTACTGGGGATTCAATCCCAAACCCATACATGTGCCCTTGGCCGGAATCGAATCAGGGACCCTTTAGTTCATAGACTGATGCTCAATCCGGCTAGGGAAAGGCTTATTTTTTATTTTCAAAGAATAGTTTATTAATTTTTAGAGAGAGAAGGGAGAGGGAGAGAAACATTGATGGAAGAGTGCCATATTGGCCGGTGACCTCCTGCACACCCACTTCTGTGGATCTAGCCCAGAACACAGGCACATATCCCCACTGGCAATCAAATCCACAACCCTGTGCTGCACAAGATGATGGACAGCTACTGACCCACACCAGCCCCGGTGGTATATTCTATATGGACAAGTACTGACCCACACCAGCCCCGGCGGTTTATTCCATTTAGATCAAAATTTGCTAATCCCGGTAAATTTAAACATTCATCTACTCAAAAACCACAGATTATGCACTGAAATTTTGACAAAGGTAAATAACACTTATATACATACAAGGAATTATGAAGAAATGTTTGTACTAGCTTTATTAGAAATAAGCAAACATTTATTAAAATGGACAAATTGATGGTGATATATGATAAGAATATCGGAAAAAAAGATGAGTTACTAGTATAACTTATTAAATCTCCAAGTATTTATGAAACATAAACTAAAGCAGAAAAATATTTAGAAAAATAAAGTTCTCTATGAAAATGGAATGTAAATCCATGGTTACTAGGAAAGCTGTGAAGAACAGGGACAGATTAAAAGAGGTCATAATGCAATTACACAGAGACAGATATGGTCAGCATTATGACTATAACAATGGTTTCAGTTTCATGCACATGTCAAGATTTATGAAACACTATAACACATGTAATTTACTCATTATACCTGTTAAAAATGGTTCAATCGTGTCCTGGAAGAACAGATTTGGCAACTCTACAGTCAATCCCCTTGTACTTATGCCCTCTGGGTGAGAGTCTCATCTCAGTCACAGAAAATGTAACAAACAATGAAGAACTTTCACCCAAACCCAAAAGCCACATTCCTGGACTAAAGACAGCCTTTGTCTCCATCTTTCTTTTGATGCCAGCGCACCAATGGCTCTGATGGGAACATCTGAGAAGCTACAGGAGCCACAAAACATCTTGATTATAATCAATGACAATGACTGTTCCACAGAAGATAAACATGCCTGGAGTCCCTCAGATCTGTGTACACACAGCTCTTGTAGTCTTTTCCTCAAAATAATTCCTGGATGCACAGTTAGATGAGGACCATTCCATCTAAATGGGTGCAGTCTCATCCGACAACAATCAAGTCAGTGTTTCTGTAGTGAAAGCGTTTCTCATGAATGCAATTGTCCTCAAACCAGTGACCATCACCCGTGAAATGGTAGGCATTAGGGCACGTGGCCCTCTGCAAGACCTGGGCCAGAGATTCACTTTACACGTATTAGCATCGCTTGCAAACAAGAAAAAAAACTCATGCTCCCAGACATACTTGAGGTTGTCCCAGCTACCCACTCTTTGGAGTGATCTCTGTGTCGCAAAGCATCTATCTTCACATGAGAAGTAGAGTGTACACAGTGTTTCCTAGGAAAATATGGGCAGCAGTGTAAATTTGCCAAAAACTGCTGAGCTAATTTCTGCACCATACTGTTCCCCCAAGAAAAAAATGTTTGAGACTCCATGAAAGTTTTTCACCTCATCATGCTTGGAAAGCCAAGATCTCCTTATAAACTAATCTATAGAGTAAACAGAACACTCCAGATTAAAGAAGTTTTAGGAAAAAGCCTTCATTATTTTACAAGCCAAAGAACATGAGACTGGCAGATCTTCCATTGACAACTTAGGCACGCAATAAACTCATCATTAGCATCTATAGAGTGTGTCCCTGAAAATGGCAGTTCTTCTGCAACATTATGTTTATGGGGCCAACAATAATGAGTCCTGTGTGGCAACGCATGACAGGGAAAGAAGAAAGAAGTAAGGGCTCAGGTATTCTTCATTTCCGTCAACAAATTAGACAACAGACTTAACTTCCCTGGGCACATGAGGATGGTGATTGATGCCACCTTATAGGTGGTTCAGGTGAAATACCTTCAGCAACAGAAACGTGCAGTGACAGAGATCTGGCAGGACATCTCTGTATGTTAGAACGTGCAACATAATTACATAGTGTTCCAACATAAAAACACAGAAACACAACAGCAAAAACACTTAAGGGAACTTTACAGAATATAGGTGATTAAATGTATGAGATATAATTCAGAAAAATGAGCATTCACAAATTTTCTTGTAGTATTTTTAAGTCCTAAATAAGAAACTACATTTCCTACACATCTAAGAAATTTCTCACATTTGTACTCTTATGCGGAGAGGGAATTTAGAAATTTGGCTGAGAGATACCTCACATTGATTACACTCTTAATAGCTTTCTCCGGTGTGAACTCTCTGCTGAT